ATTTCATTGGCGTTTCTTTTTGTTTTACTTGAAAACCTTTTTAAAAAACAATACATGCTGCAATTTTGTTATTTAGACAGTTATTTGAATAATGTGGAAAATTTAATTCTTAGAAGAAAAAAAAAACAATATATTAGGTATACGAATGATTTCGATTTCAATAAGATTTTGATAGTGAGTGTATTTTTTTCAGGTGCATGTAGGGTCGTCAAAACGGAGAACTTTTATAGTCTTGCATTTTTCATAATGGTTGCATTGCATTGTAGTTGATCGTTTAATGGTCAAGGTCCGTGTTTAATCCATATAATCAATGTGAATCCATTCATAATCATTCCTATTTTATTAAATTACTAGCAGCCCGTCCTGGCTTCACACGGGGTAGATAATTATTTATTTTTGGAAATTTGGATTGTTGTAGTGACATAACTACAATAGTTGGACATATGCTACCGCGGAGTTTATTGTAGACATTATGATGTTCTTCAATATTGTTGTACATTATTTTGTTCTATCGCTAATAGTTTCGGCAGCGCATTCGACGAAAGACATTTTAAGACTCATTTTTCTACACATTCGGTTACATTGTTCAAATTTTACCAAGGATCGCTAATTTTTTTCAAAATGAAATGTAGCCTATGACAAATTGGAAAAATGTAGCATTCTATTGGTGAAAGAATTTTTTTAATCGGCTCAGTTCTTTTTGAGCTTATTCATTATAAACATACAAACATACAAATATAGGTACAATCTTTCCTCTTTATAATATTAGTATAGATTGAGAAAGACGGAACTCGTCAAATGCCGCACAGTTCGTCTGAGAAAAATGTGTTAGCTTAGGATTGGCTTTTAAGACTTTGATTGCCAATAAAAAACTGTTGAAGGTAACTCCTCCGCTAACGCCGGTCACCGGTGATCCCCATGGCGTTCAACGTGTTAATAATTGTCTGTCGGCGGGAAACTTAATTAAGTTATTGTTAAGTAAGGGCTAAATAAACATAATACATATTTACAAAATTCTAGGAATAGTCGTTATCAAATATATTTCATTTAATTCAACCTTGCAGGTTGGAGGAACTGAACCGCACTGTGTATCTCACCGACCAACTGCAGGTATACACGGTTGTCTTAAATGACACAATTCTTACAATACTGTCATTGGTTCCAGTGTATCTGCAACTTTTACGTATTTTGTATTAAAATGGTTATTTTTATTGTACGTCCTGCAGTGTAACCTTTAACAAACCCTTTTCGATTTAAATAAACATACGTGTATATATCGATTTTACATACATTTGTAGTGCTCAATTATTCCGGACTAGTGTTTCGGTACAAAAATAAATTAGTCTATTTTCATATCAAGAAAATAAAACAGTTACTGCAATTTGCTTTTGTGCTTTAAACTGAAGATGATAATCAAAGATGATCAAACGAATTCCTTCAATTAGAACGAGAGAAATTTTTTGTACCACGTTTGTCATGGAAATGCTAATTTTACAGCAGCTTTAAAACTACGATCTCTAGATGTCTCACTCATTAGTTACCTGTTCAACTTAATGTATGTAAAGCTTGAACGTAAATAAGTTGCAATAAGGTTTAATAGAAACGCCAGCGAGATTACGATGAGGTTGACTGTCCACAAACACGATTGTCGATTGATATACTCTCAGCGCCCACTGTGCAATAATTTAATATCAATTGATGCTTCATAAACTTAAAAGGTTTTGACAAAAACGAAAACTCGTTTCTGAACTATGAGAACTGATTCAATATTTCGATTCACACTTAAATAAGTAGGTAATTGTTTATTTCTTTTCCAATAAGCAGTACGGGTTTATTGATTCGGTCCAGCCAAATGAAAAAAAATACAGTAATGCTTTTATTTTGATTGCTTTCAATTCGAGTGCAATTATTATTAATGGCTCACTTCATATCCGTGATATTTACCGTATTTTGTTCTTTTGAGATCATTTCACAGACAATTTAACTCAAATCACTGAAATCGCCATTTTAATACAGACGCGAGTAACAACGGTCTTTAACCCAACTCATATCCATAATTCATGCGTATCTTTAAACAATTCCAAAAGAATTGTTGCATGTAATGCCTTGCAATCATAAAGGGGCAATATCGAGTGCACTTTCGATCTCGCATTGAAATTTACACGAAAGGTGGTAATTTTCCGCCGTGTGATGACATTAATAGTGGCAAGACTCGCGGGTAGAACATTTTTTGTATAAAAGAGTTTTACATTCGGACGAAGTCGACGCTCGTCGCGCGCTCCCCTTCTCACATCACTTTACATGTTTATACGACGCCTGCGCAGGTGTATCGACCAAATTTGCTTGTTTGTTTACACAATTTAACTATTAACCACAGAAAATATTGCCTACACGTATGTAAATTGTATTTCAAACTATGTTGTAAAAATTAACTTATTGTAGCTATAGCGTTAATTAGCCATGCGTTTTATGATCATTATCTAATTCTGTTTTAAGTGCGTTAACTTAACCGGTGTTTTATGCGTAATAGCAAGGTGTTTTAGTGTTCTTCACGAATGACCTGAACATCTCATTTCCATTAGTAATTGAAAACTAAGTTTAACCACGCACATCTATAAGATAAGCAAATCACAATTTGCATTAGTAGTGGAGCTAATTAAATAAACAAACTGTCTAGTTGGAGTCGTTAAACATTAACAAATAGATAAAATGGGGGCCGTAAAAGCCTAAAAAACTGATGGTCAATAAATAATAGCGGCGACCATGCGCCGGAGTCAACGCCAGTCAATACATTCTAATCAGTGATTTATTGCCACTAATCCTCAGCTCAGCACAAATAAGCTATCTTGTCGATTTAATGTTGTATCAGCTCAGGCGTGAAACTCCCGCGCACCACTAAGTGGTCCTTCCAGTTTCCACTCGAAATATTTTAATAAGGCCTCACTGCTCACGCACCCTAATAAAAACACACACACGCACTCACCAACACGATCTCCTTTAAAACCTCTACTCGTTTGAGTCCAATTTATTTATAATAGTAGCGACACTAAGAATCTACATTTTTGCTCTAAACGGTGTTAATTTATTGACCGTGGGCAGATAATATCACTTTTTTTCTCCCATTATTAAAGCGATTACACGAGAAATTATACGTCGTAGCCGAGTTCCGAGCGTTTCATCGGAATAGGGCCTGCATTTCTAAAATGTTCCTTACTTATTTCCTACAAGTGTCAATTTCGCTTGAATGCTTCACGAAAGCTTGATAATACTTTCGTTGACGAAATCGCCTTATTGACTCGCTAATAAAAAGTGTTAAGTTATGGACAAGTTATGCCACTTGCATTAATTTCGATGCTTAACCTGATAAACAAATTATGGTATATTAAGTTAATAGCTTAATTTATAATTGAATGTGTTACGATGTGTTCATAAGAAAGCATTGTTACGATCAGCCTTTAGCATATCTGGTTGTTGTTAACGACAAATTGCGTGGATAAAAATATGTACGGATACGTGTTGAGAGACCGAAACTTTAAGGCTTGAGAAACATTTTAATTTTGTATTTATGCCATTGATGGATCCAGTTTGTCTGCCTATAAAATTTTATTTTTACACCATTCTGTCTGATTTTAAAAATTATATTTCTTAATCTTATTAAAATGTTATTTATTTTATTGCTAGATTTACACCATTTTATATGAAGGGTAAGGAAGGGTTTATGGACATGTTATCACAGTAAGTCGATTACGCGTACTGAAGTTGTCTATAACGATTCACACAGGCTGTATGGTTAGCGTGTGGTGGCTAGTAATAAAAGTGGTTGCTGAGCCTTTGACACGATATTGTAATGACAAAGGGACGGCACATAATGAGCGCACACGGAATCACCGCTTACGTGGAATCAGGGCCGAGTGTTTCGCCAGAGGCACTCCAATCACGGTCACATATAAAAAAGAACGCTGTATCAACGAGGGACATAAAATCCGCCAAATTACTGTTGTTATTTGTTTTGATGACTTAATTTTGTTACTTTTCCCGACGGATTTTATAGAAATCGTAAAAGCAGCTAATGATTTTAATTGATACGTCTCCTGATTTACATTTTTTATTCATTTGAAAACCGATATCGTGCTGATAAAAATGCGGTTTATAGGAATATGAATAAATTAATCCAAGGAATATTTTAGTAATTTCACACTTTGCTGGTGAAGCTTATCATCCCGTGCGAGTCGTAAAAGAAGATTGCGAGGAGGTGTCGATACGATTGTAGGTCCTACTGATAAACCGGTGAAGTTCTGCAGGCTGCGTCGTCATCCCCATACATTGCAATTCCAACAAGCTTTTATTAATTTATTTCAAGGAGTTCTTCTTGAATAGTATCAATAACATTGACAATTTTCAGACTGATAAATAATTATTTATTATATTAGATTCTGAATTACCGATAATACAACATTTATGCATAATGTTACTTACAATACTTACATTGCAATCTTAATTTATCTAAAAACCTAAAAATACAGATACTTGAGTACTTACTTTGGCACGAAATAATAAAATCGATTCTTTATAGGATTATTGGCATTGACATTTAATCCTCATAGTGCATTGCAATCGTTTCGTTTGTGTAAGCTTCGATATCGTAATGTTGAAGAATAAAGGTGGAGTTACATAGGTTGTTCTCTGACAATGTATTCATGCAACGTTTTGTAAATATGTTCACTACTTTATTACCTTAGCTGCCGGTGTTATGGTAGTTAACAGAGATAATCTTGTAGGCGATGCATATGGTTGTGTTTATTGGCTTTTGAAAGGGTAAGAATACATGACTTATGCTGATGGGGTAACGGTTAAATATGTAATCCCATATTTTGTAACATGGATTCCATCTAACAGTGTCCGAAACAAGAGACTTGTATGATAGAGTAAACTTATCAAAATGCAATGCAGAAGGTTTCGTCGATTGGTTCTTAATTCCCAGTTTTTAATTTTACTTTCAGTACCTGTATCTCCATCATCGTCTGGCGGCGGAGCTGGCGGTGGGTCTGGCACTCCTCTGTACCCTGGCGCGGCCTCCCACCCTCTCTCCTCCCTGCTGTCACAACAGAGGCTACTGGAGCTCTCCCGCTTCGGGCTCCGACACTACGACATCGCGCACCATGTGCTGTCACAGCAAGGTGCTGTAACCAAGTTGCTTGGTAAGCAATTTAGGTTTACTTTTAAGTTCATCATCACAAGCCAGAAGACATCCACTACTGAAGTGTTGAACAACGGTTTATCCTTGTTCTGATACGGTGAATGACACTTTTTGATAATGTCGTTGGTCCATCTGCCGAGAGAGTTTTTCAGGCAACGTCGTTTGGTTCGTGCATGAGATTTGAAAACGTACTCATCGATTATTATCAGTTCTACTCCTCCTGTGGTTACTCACAAGAACTCTTAACTCGTCGAGTACCATCACTATAGACACAATTATAGAACAATAGGTTGCGGTCACCGGTGACCGCTTGGTGTTTGACAGTTTAAGTCTAAAAATTATACCAGAAAAAGCCGCAAAATTTACTACAATATTTTTATAAACTTTTCTAAAAACGCGATCATGGATGCTCGTATCATATTTAGACAAATAATTTAACGTAACATCTTTATTTTTTTAAAGCTTACAAACTAACCAGCCAAGCCTTTCTCCCATTCCCATTAAGTTTCATACAAGAAAATCCTAGCATGGTAAATATAGAAGATCCTTAACATCTCGTTTTACAGGAACGATGCAGTTTATTAGATAAACATCAGCGTCTCCTGTCTACCTTTCTACATAGAATTAATCACTTAATCAACTTGATTAGTGTATTTAATTAGCAAAAACACCATTAGGTGCTAATTAAGTAAAGTTAAAATGCACCTGTAACTATTGATGTAATTCAAGTACATTATTTTTAAACTTTTTATGAATTAATCTCCTTTTAGTGTTAAGTAGTTGGTGTAAATGTGGAATTTAATAGGCAAACAGTATTGGATGTGCTTTCTTTATCTAGAAAATGGGTGCTGGTTAAGTAGGTACAATGTTACGAGATGATTTATGAATAAGATATTACTATTGCTACTTTACTATGGCTTTGGATCTATTTGAATCCGATGAATGATCTCAACCAAAAGTGTAAACTGTTGAGTGTGTAAACTGTTGAGTAAGTATTGTGATCGACATAACCCATTAACACTTTTTACCCGGGAATTTACATTATTACCAATGACTTTAGGCATAACAACCATGAATCGTCATCAAAAAGTGGGTGGCTACTTCTGCCTACCTCTTCGGGGAAAAACGAACGCGATATTATTTTGTTTGTAAAAACGTCAGCACCAAACCAGAACCGTGAACATTGATATTTGTTAGCAATACTTGTATAGTTCGCTTTTATATCCTTTTGATGACTTTGCAAACGATTTAAGTTATATTTGGCACATTTTATAGCTTAAAAATATCTTCATTATACATTTATTTGTGTTTTAATCCTAATAATAATTCCGTCATTTTACTACATTTTGTTTTAAGGTTCTTTTATCGTATGGGTTTTAGCAATAAACCCGTATCTGGTAGTTCTTTGAAATCACTTTCGATACTAAAAGAAAGGCTATAATTACGGTATCTATACACTTAGTCGGAATATAAAGCAATCCATATCAAAGTGAACAGTGACATTACCTTTCTCAATGGCTCTTTTATCACGACAGGTGTAATATGAATATTTGATGGCTACAGTGTGCGATACTTCCATATGTTGTCCTACAAATGGCCAATCAATGGGTGTTACGAGAAATAAAAAGCTAAATTACATAAAACTGTTTGTATGTGTCCAGCCTTATAATCGAATGGGTGTCGCAAAATTGCCGGGTCATTTAAACGTAGTCTAATTAAAAAGAAAAGCTCTTTGTTTACGTTGTTTTTCTTTGTTCTGTAAATTATTAGGAAACCTGCTTATTATCGAGCTGCACTAGGTGGAAAAATGTTGAGGGTTGTCACTTACGTGAATATCAAATTATAGGTATTGTTTTTCGTTTCCTGACGTAGGTATATGTACCTACATACATAAGTTGTGATTCATTTTTGTCTTTACTTATAGCTTTATACATTTGTAGACCTCTTTAACTGTTGAATGACTCTGTCATCGTCATCTTATCGTCCCTCCCTTCTCTTAAGTTGAAAATTGAGAGTGAGACATTATATTATTGTTATCTAGAGAACTTTAAAGCCATTTGGGGTTCACACATGACGATTCATCGATATTTTTAAGTATAAGATACTTAGGGACAATCAAAATTGTCATTATATGGTCACATTACGAAGACATCTATAGGGTAGAGCTCTATTCTTCGAATAAGTTTTACGAAATTAATAGAAATTATTCGGTTTTCCCCAATTCCAAAACTTCAATTATACATTTACATCGATTTTACTTGACCGACCCACCTGAATACTCCTGGCATACAGTTAGAGGGCACACATAGCTCATTATAGTCTTTTATACACTTCAGCAAAGTGAACGTTAATACGTTGTGATACGGTAGATGATATTAAAGGACTTTTGTTAGAAAACTTCAATAATTATGCTGGAGGGTAGATAATTGATAAAGCGAACTTATGCCTATTGGGTCTCTGGTCTCTGTAATTAGTATGCGTTTGTATTATTTATTGTATGCCGTAGTGGTAAGTCTTCAACATATTGATTTATACGTACATCGTACGCTCTTTACAGAGAAGCCTGAGGCGCTATAGCCAACCACTAAGTTATTTGCCATAATTACTTCACTGGCTAGCATAATATGTTCAATATTATTGTCAGCTGGTCATTCTACAGGAGAACTGAAATAGTAAACGTAGATCTTTCTTTTTCTTTCTCATTATAACAGCATAAGTGAAGATGATCGTATTTCACTTAAAATACGGTTATTTTGTTTCAAATCTTTTTAAATACAACCGCTTATTAACGCAATAAATGATATCGGATCATCCAATGACAAGTCAGCAATTATCGAAAGCGACGCAGGCGCAATCCGAGTTTAACTCGTGTCTAATAACACGGTTAGGGCAAAAATCTCAATCGCTATTAATCACCGATAAGGATAAGGCATCGACAGAGTCTGCCGCGACGAAAGCTGCTATTGACGAAAGCTTAGATCCTAATCGATTCATAAAACTTGCAGCGTGTTAATTATAAGCCACCGGGGTGCGGATGAATGCGCCCGCGCTGCCGACGCGCCGCCTCGCCGCGAGCATGCGCTCCCGAGATCTCGATTGTCGATGTGAGAACTATCGTATCATCGACGATTTTTCATATCGACAACCCTTTATTTGACTGTTTCCTTTACAATTATCACAGCTGCCTTTCAATACAATCTCCATCTTTAACTGCTCCAACGAATCCGCGAAACTTTATGCGCGCCACGACCATCTTCAATAATTGTGTTAACATAATGAAGCAACAGGAAACCAGGAATTAATGTCCGGACTTTGTCAACTGCTCATAGCAATTAATGCATTCGTTGATTAAAGTAAACAATGTAGATAGAGCTAATTGTTGAGCTATAATAGCAAGGTGAGTTCCAACCGAAGCGTGAGTTGACTATGACATTGCAGACACTTGGCCGTAGTCAGTTAATTTTCTGAATTAGTTCTGTGAGCGGTGTATAATTAGGACACGTGAGACACTTTGTGTTTGCTCAGGACTCGTGAACGGGCGATTTCAAAACCACTCGACCATTTACAGCAACGCGCACTCTATTATTTTACGCCGTTTGAACATTCATATTTCTTACCAAATGTGCAGGGTTTTGTATTTAATTTAATTTTTATTTTCCTTTCAACGTTTTTCTGCCTAGTCGGATTAGTGTTATTACATTTTTCCATTAAATCACCGTTATTACATTGTATTCTAGATATTGTCGCGTTCTGAGAATCGATTATATCCATTACAGGGAAATAAATTGTACCTAAGCGTATTTACACGAGAAGGCTGAGTAGTTAAATTATAATTATTTTCCTATAGAAACAAGAGAGGTGACGTGCGTCAAGGTAGGGGTACAAACGGGTCGTTAAAACGATATTACACAAGATAGTGATATGTGCAAGAATACCATAAACGTAGAAACGGTATTGAGGCGAGCGTATATTATGAGAACAGAGGAGCGTAGTGTCAATCAATTTTCGCCGCTGGTGATTTCATAACGTCACGTGTCGGGTTCCCACGGAAGCCCGACTACAACCCGCCCAGGGCCGTCATGTCCAACCACTTAAGTATTTAACATAGGTACATAGCCTTAGCTTAAAAGTTATTATCTAGCCTAAACAATTTCTAAGCTGACGGCATGGAAATGGGCACGCATAAATAACGTTTCATGGCCGAGTTTGAGTATTAAATTGTTGGTTGCGATGCGAGTGGAGTGACGAATAAATTGCCCATACACTGTCTAGTTTGCTGCCTCTTACAGATTAACTAAAGCACATGGGTTTATGCTGGCCACAAGCAGCGTGCATGAGTTATGTGCGAATCTCCTAAATCGTTTATAAACTATGACACGCTGAGAAGTTAGTAGCTTACTTCGAGTTTCTAATTTTAAAGTGAAGCAATTTAGCCACGGATGTTTGTTATAAATAATTTGGGAAGTCAAAAGCCACAAAAATCATAGACTAAGTAATTTGATATTAAACCGGTCATTTTATTTCGTCGTACGTAAATTAGTTGGTAGCTAATGATACCTACTCAAGATGATTGTCCGCGGCTCGCCGCGGCCCGTAATGAAGCCGTATTTAGGCTTTGGTCCTATAATCAAAATTGAATTATCCCACTTGACATTCTTGCTTCAGAAATCATGCTTTTTCTTTTTCCGCTCCAATTCTCTAGGACAATTTGAATTTTTAATGGTCTCTGTTGTCAATAGGATGTTGTACCTAGTGAGTTGTTATGGATCTATGATTTACTCTCAGGTAATTACGTAGCTACTGATAGGTATATGGCAGATATTTAGGGGTGTATATTTTTAACACCTTAACAGCTATAATTTTAAAGTAATTAAATAATATAGAACAAAACTTGCAGAAGTATTGATTTACATATAATTTGATTCAAATTGCACCTGAATGTCTATTCAATAGACTATAGGTACTATGGTATAGCAAAACTATACGGAATAATCCCCGGCTAAGTGAAATAATATCTACTCATGAGATTTACTTATTGTTTAATGTCATAGACCTTACCTGATCCACTTCAGTAAGTTTGGTTCATAATATCTAATTGCTTCCGAGGGAGCAAGCGCAAACTGATTCAAGTTTCATACAAAAAAGTCGATCAATCACCGAATCAAGGCATCGTTAACACGCGTTGCATTATGTTCAATAAATCAGGCCATCCAGGCCCACTTCACCGCTAAAGATTTTGATCTATTAACTGGATGACAGCGCACTATTGGGCCGCGGGTAACTTTAGCGCCAGCCAATATAAAGACCCACTTCTGAATACTTTTAATACAAATTTAATTAACTAGATTCAGACCTTTTCTATGTCGTTTAAAAAGATGTTTGTGGGGGCACCGTGTAATGACTTAAAGCGTCCATAAACGACTCTTGTGTGGAAATTTATTAACACTCGTTTTGAGTGTGCATTGTCCCTTTGTGGCCCTCACTTCCTTAAGCGTACCGCTGATGATTAATTGCTCATCTTTGTTTTGCAACATAAGTCTCCGTTTAAAGGGAAAACAACAAAAACTTGAAGGGATTATTCGACACCTTGTTCGTGCATTGTGAATGTGTTTATGTAGTTTCTCTCGCGTTTATGGTGTAGTGTTAAACTTTCAATTGATTCGTGCCGATCATAGTTATGACGCTTATTATCATAACGAACACGACGTTCAGTATTTATGAAGCAATTGAAAGATGGCCAGGCTAATTTATTGTTTTATTTTATTTATAACAACAAGTACACGCAATATTAAAGAGCACTTCTGCGCGTTAAGCGCTGTCCAGCTGACGTGATAATTAGATAAATAGAAGTACTTAAATAAATGTTTATATTCATTAGATATGCAGTAGTTCGTATTATTACTCTATATGTGGCATAATTTCCTTAATTTCTACGTTTTTTACTATTTTGCAATATTTTACCCAAAGGTCTTAGTCATAAAATACATTAGTTCAAGCTTTGGTATTTGAAATGTTATGTAGCAACGGTATTGTAATTTTATTTACGTGCAAGAAATAAAATTTTCTAATTTGATGAGTATAAATAATTGAGGTGGAACAAGCTTAGTTTCCTTAGATCGTGCGTACGCGCCGGGAGCGCGCTTGTGTTTCACACAAATAATACACATTTAGCAAGAGTTTCAGTGGCTCACACGATCCGCCTCTGCCTAGGCAACGGCGAGTAATTGGCTCCGGTCATGCGATTACGTTTCTAGTCGATTTAATTATCGCAAAATGATCAGTGTGCCGGCCTCCTGCAATTTAGCTATCAATCAAGAGGAGAACGGTTATTGGCGTTTTGCGGCGGCCGAGTGGCAATATGGGTTTTCAATAGTTACAGTAAGACTGCAGTGAAAGGTGCTGCGGGATTTCATGCACGTACCACGTAATGTTTGACGTTCCGCTGTCGCGTCGCCTGCGTTGATCAATGCATCCGCTGCTCAAGCAATTATTTGTACAATATGTAAACGGTTCCCATTTTTGTCGTGACTTATGAAGGTTTTCATCGCGGTTTTATGATGCTGTGTTTGTATCGCAAATAACTTGATATACCTACTTGTTAATAAATAATCCACTAAAAGTATCGTCCATTAGAAAATAATATAACGTAGATATTGAAGCACAAAATACCACAACTATACTGAATGGGATGATATTGATGGTGACTCAAAAAGGCCAGAAAAATCATTTATGAAATCAAACCAGACGAATATGTGACAGGAATATTATTTTGACATTATAAATCGTAGCAAGTTTTTCTTACTTGCTTTATGGAGTTCATCATAACTACGGCACCTTCTAAGGTTAATTAATAGAGAAAGAGTACTGTGAGCACTTTTATGATATAGGTAATAAGAAATTTATTTTTCTTTGTATAGGTACGTATGGCGTTTAATTTACCTACTATTTTAATAAACTTATGAATATTATCGCAACGGACTAAATCTATGTGGAAATAATTACATAAAATGTAGCGTTCGCTTTTTACAGTTTTGTATCACGCTACACTGCTTAATTACCCATACTTACCAACTTTCTATGGCCAATACCTACTACATAATATGAAAACACACAATTTTCTACATAAATTCATATCGTGGTTGGAATATTAAAATGGGTTTCACCTATTAAGGCGATGTGTCGCGGACCTCATGTTAACTCGAAATTGTGTTTTTGTTGGAGCAGTCCATTTTGGTCGGTAAGCTTTAGTCTTATCAAGACATAAAGAGACTTATGAATTCATCTTGAATGGCGTTGACAAAAATGTGAATATAAATAATGTGTTGAATAATTCAGCGTGTTATCGGTATGGAAGAGCGGTGTGCGCGTAAAAAGCAAGCGGTCCGCGCGCTGCCCGCCGGAATGCCGCAGCGCTGTTTTTACGTAATTGTCCTGATGCACGCACTCATCCATTATCTAACTGACTTAGGCACCCGAGAATATGTTGGTTTTTACTAGTCGCTCTAATCATAAGCCACTCCATAAGTCTACGGTTACGACAATTTTCCGGCTTCGTAAACAGTTATTTGCTTCAATTTTCAGGAATTCAGCTTTGATTCTTTAAGGTTGCAAACTTAGCATGTTTTAGACGGGATGTTTAATAAAGTTGGACTGAAATAGATCTACCAAAATTTTTACGTTTATACAGAACATCATTAACAGAGTCCCACGTGTTTAAGCTCAATAAAAACAAATCCAGGGATAAACAATAATTAAAAATTCACGTCTCGTCACATGCAGGCTTCATTTAGCCGATGTCAATGATTCTGTAATTATTAATACTAATTTAAAGCTTTCATTGTTATTCTTACCGCCGTGCTCGATTATCAATTTTTTGTGGGGACGCACGTCCACTGTCCTTTTAAATGCTAAAATACAATTATTGATGTGCTGTTTTTAGATGTATTTTGAAGTTTATTACCCTTCAAATAAGGGCCAAGGAGTAAAACCAAGTTTTGTGTCGCAAGTATTGTTTCGCGACAAGTAACTTGCGTTTACTCACGTTTAGCACTCAATGAAATTGCATCAATCGGTATCGTGTCGCTATTACTGGTATTTTTATTTGAGCCTCTAATTTGATTTTGATTTTTCTTTTATTTCCTTCACCGATCAGCAGGTGACAGTTTGTTCAATATGTTTTTATCTACAACCGTGTCGCCAACCAGAATCGTGATTGAAATCGCAGAGCAAATCGGTTATGGTTGAAAATACTACCAAATATCTATTACCTAATCGACCTACTCTTCTATTCTATGAAATTGTGTTTATTTTCAATATTATATCAGGTAAATATACCTGTTATTGCCCAAGTAGATTTAGATTTCCGATAAATCCATTTCGGCTTATTAATGGAATATTTTTATTGTTTCAGGCACTCTTCGACCACCAGGTTTGATCGGAGGCAGTAAGCCTAAAGTAGCGACTCCTGCCGTGGTCTCCAAGATAGAACAGTACAAAAGAGAAAACCCCACCATCTTTGCCTGGGAGATTCGGGAAAGACTTATTTCTGAAGGTAAATGCTACATACTGCAATATCTGTTTTTATGTGTGAAATACTACTTACTTAAAGTCCTCAAAAAAAAAATGAAAATCAGTAATATAAACCAACTATAAATTAGAACACATTCGCTTGATTCCCACACATGTGGAATATAAATTATTTTATAACTATAAAAGTCAAGTAAATATCGACATCTTTTCGATAAATATGCTGCTCAAATTGTACGCTAAAGCTTCTTAGTTACAACTCTAAATAATTAACATTCTCCGTTTATAAATACTCCAATTATCCACGGGAAATGGCGATACTATTGCTATTGCTTATGTTTCTACTACGGACTGGTAAAATGTCTCAACTAGTTGGAACATTTTTTTAATTCTTCCATCTATTCGTAATACAGAACCTATAATCAATAAAGTACCACATAATAATCCAATAATAAGTCATAATTATAAACAGTAATTTATTGATTCATACATAATTTCCTTACGTTACAATTAATTTATTTCGTTATTAAGTTAAATAAATACGATGCCTAAATATTGGGTTCTTTCTTTAGTAAATTAAATTGTTGTGTTGTGGTTTCGGGTGAGCCAACATGTATTTTTCTTTATTAATGAAGTGAATATTGAAGTAAGTATAAGTAATTTAACAAAAATTCAGATATAAGAGGATTAAAGATAATATGTCTCCAAAAATCACATTAAAGCCCAGCATAATTAAGTAAGAAGTCACTTTAAGTTCACACTCCAGTGAAAATAGCACTCAAGTAAAAGAAAAATGCATGAAACTCACAATTTACTTTAATTCAAATACAAATTAAACTTAATTCCCACAAATTCCAAATTCTTAAGATCACATTTACATCGCATTGTATTTACAACTTCACGGCAATTTTCAGCTACATTCACCATCTTCTTTACAAAGAGCATCTTCCTTATTTCCCCTTTCAAGTTATGATCATGGAAACAAATAAACAATTATGGCTTCAACCACGAGGTTATAACCGTATAGCTGTTTCCTATACGTGTGCCGTGCATGCTGTGGGCTATCACGAGCTAGGCCCATGCAACTGTGCCCATTCAACGAGCACCCGCTGACGTGACGAACTTTGCGGGATCGTTTTCTACTGCCATTAAAGTCCTGCGTTTTATGTCAAGTATTGTACGGGAAAATATAAAATGTAGAATTTTTGGCGTAGATAATTTCCCTATTACTATGATGGAAGAGGAGGAGGAGGATACTACGATTTTGGTACAAAACTGCAAAATACAGGGTGAAATTTTGTAATTGCACCTCGACCTCATCGTTCGCTTGATAAAATTGACGTGTAAAAGTGCTGCCTTGTAGCCTATTTGCAGAAATAAATTCACTTGTTTCACTTGAATGGGAAGTATTCCAGAAAAGTATTAAGATACTTTAGATAGATGCAATAAAAGTACAGGGTGCAACTTTTACAGATTTTAGTCGCGTCGATAACTGTGTGTGGCAAGCGAATTTAAAAAAAAAAATTGATCGTATTTTTATTTCTTTTCAAAAACAAAGAAATGTTTTTTTTTGAGTAAATTTTCTATCTTTATTTATTGTACTATTACTACTATTGTATATGTATTTCGAGTACTTTCTCTTCAGGTGGCCTTAAAAATTCCACACTGTATTATATTCCCATTGTATACTGCAATCCATTTGACTGGAAAAATTGTACTGTTAAAATATTTGAATTATGCTATGAAGCCGAAACCCAAATTAAGACTGTTGCACAATATTCGACTGAAGAGACAGTTTCTAAAAACAAAACATAATTTTATATACACAAAAAAACTAAAACACATGTTAGATTGAAACAAAAGTCAAACCAAAAACTGTCAATCTAAATCGAAGTGCGTTCGGATGTCGAAGGATCTCTAGCCATAATAATATAATAAAGCGAACGTCGCGTAATACCGGTGAGCGACTCAAGTTACAGGCGTTGCGTGCGCGCACACACGATATGGAACCGTCTGATCATCGAATTATTACCGAGTTACCTTATTAAAATAATTTATGGCAATTTGCAGATTGTTATTAACTCAATGAGTGGAGTTCTTCAGACGTTTTCATATATCATTGCCGTATGGATGACGTGCGAATTGTGTAGCTCGTGTAATTGAGACTGATCTGTCTAAGAACTGATTTAAATTAACCAGGAAATGATTAGAAGTTGGTTTAAGTCAGGGTTAAGTTTATTATCTTACCTAGTAAATAAGTGGGTTGTGTCTTCATCTATTATGTTTAATTGTGGACTGGGACACAAAGCAAGTTATTAAACAACAATTTTTTACAACTACCTAATTCATTTTAAGACTCTAGTCTGATACTTAGCTCATAGCATGGATAAGCTTTAACGTCTTACGTATGTATACATTTATCGAATAGTGTTTAATGGAATAATAAGGATAATGTATTTTCTTGAAAGTACCCATTTTCATTAGTAACAAAAACTCGACCACCAAAAAACAAGGTCACCTCACCCACAACCTGCGAACCGCTCAGTGTAGCCAGAAACCAAACACTTATCTAATTATAGGATTAAAGTATTTGAGTAATGAACTTTAGATGAGTGTCAAACAGTTTCGGCAGGGCAATAGGCAAAGCCATTCAAGTGCAAGCCCGAATATGGTCTGTTAGTTTTGTAAATGGCCGCGGTAGCTGACGGCGGATATAATGTAATTCGAGAACATCTATTGGATTTTGTGTCTATGTGCGAGCAACACAATGCTTTAGGTATTATTATATGTGTTATGTAAGCGAGCCTATGTGTAAAGGTCACACACTCAAATTTATTCGGACATGTTCTTATGTGCACGCATAATAAAGGTGAAACAGTATACATAGGTCACGGTACAGTGCGCAAATTAGAAGCAGTGACACGTATTCATGATTTTTTGTTCTTGCAAAATCTCTTGGTTCAGACAAACAATTGTTTCAATGAAGACTGTGTTGACAATGACTCAATTTATTTTTCCATTAACATCTGTTTTCACCAACCTCTTAACTAAACAACGGCTAAAATCTAATCAAATATACAAATTGTATATAAGCCCTTTGTATACCTTTAAACCATAACACTCTTTAAAGGGATATTTCGGTATAGCTATTACATAATTCAGTTACTGTAAAAGCCGTTTAAATGAAGCCCCAAGTTCGTCTAATCCTGATGTTCAGTTTATGTTGACTACAGTTTAATAAATTATGTAGAAAATTATGTCAATCTGTTTTCTTTTGATCTCAAGATCAAATGAAACAATTTTGACAAAATTTCTACGCAATAAAGAGCAATAAATAAGAATGCCGCGTAGTGCCGCGGGACTGAAGCCAACTGCACAATAAATGTGTCACTAAAGCGGAGGGCTTTGAGTATAAAGTTGTCGTTGTTACACATAATATGCAACTATATTTATATGAATGGCATTATTTTCAAACCAAATACCCCAATTTCCTGTAGCTAAGTGTATATTTTTCACGATTTGAAGTTATAATTCAGTTTCCACTCATTATTTTTTATACCCGCGCAATAAAATTCAGATTACTTTCATAAGTTTTACCAGTCGAATGTTATCTGCAACTAACCTCGGCACAAATTCTAATATTGTTAGTCGTAGTACAAACATAACGATTAAAGTGGACATTTGCTGAAATATCTTTTCCTATAACGTAACAACGACACAAAAACATGCTCACACACATATCTTAGAGTACGATGGGCGTCTTTAGCTCAGAGGCCAACGAGCCAATTGCGATAATTGCACCAACGACACCTCTCGTGCCCATGCGTGACGTTAAACATCAACAACTGAAAGAAAATACGGCTTAAGCGTCCGTGAATCGCCCAATGTATTCACATTCATCCGTCCAACAGAATAAAGTTCAAAATCGCAAGTCTAATTAAAAGTCATTAATGCGTTCGTCGTCAAAGGACGTTCTTTGCCTTGATGTTTTCTCTAGTGCAGTGCAGTTCGGTAGGGTGCGTGCGATCGCATTGGAACTGGTTTTGCTTACAAGACCACTTCTGGTTTACGATATCAGTGGGGACCGGATTAGGAGACGATAACATTCTTGATGGGAAACACTGTGCTAAACTGAGTTGTTAAATTGGTTCGCAACCATTAAATCCGCAGGGGGCGCCGTAACTTCAGAGCACATGATTGGGTTAACGTCTATATAAAACACGTTTTATTTACATGATTTTATAATACTTGGAAAAGATTTCTTATAGTTAAGTCAAATATTAATATACAGTAAAATTGAAGACAATAATAACCGTTTCCTGATGCCCACCATCCTTATAAAATATCAACGACTGATTGGTATTTTGTGGAAAAAGAAAATTCTTAAAATATTTTTGAACTTCTGTATGTAAGTAGGTATGAGGGAAGCGAATTCTGATTATGAATAATATGTGAACGAGTTCTTTTGAAGAGTTCGAACAATTGCTCAGTGAGCGTTTTTATATTTTATGTTTTTTGTTCTTATCTCTGCGACCGGCTGACATTATCGTCATTTGTTGAAATGTGTTTAAAATAATTGCTCGAGCGCAGTGAGCGCTCATGCCTCCGTTGTATGCGAAAATTGCACGCGATCCCACGTCAGTCGGTTGTTTTGCGTAAATGCTCACATATTTGTCGTAAACGTTGCTGTATTTAAATAAATTCTGCTGTAGTTTAACTCGAAACATTCAAAAATTTACCGCTAGCTTTTGTGGTTACAATTTACACGTAAAATTAAATAGCTTTATTGCATCAGGAATGCTTTGTCCAATTTCGATGGCTTGAATTGTCCGGGGTTGTAGTTATGATTGATTCCATTAGATTCGTCGATGGTTTCGGTGTATCAAAGTATGTGGACCGGCGCGGACCACCTGCCGGCCAGGGAGCCCCGAATCACTATTACTTTTACAGAAGTATTAATATACTACAACTGACATGACATCAATTCTTTTAGGTAAAACTATTTTCTGATTTTCACTGGCAATA